ATCCCAAACATCATAATCTTCATTATCATCATCGTCATTATTTGCTGTAGAATTACTTATGGTAGAATTATTACTAGTAGTAATAACAGAAGTAGGTGTAGTGTAGTGTATCTAGAAATTCTCGGTTTAGTTAAGAAGCTATTCGACATTCTTTGATTATAAAATAAGGATTTTAAATTTTCCTTAGTAGCAGTATAAATAACTACATCATCCTTTTCCTGCTCCAATTGTTGTTGTACTTGTACCAAAGGAGTGTCGTCGCCTTTTAACTTTTCTTTTACATGTGAAAGAGGTAAATTATCCTGTTCGTAATGGTGCATTAAAGATTGATGAGCAATTTTACGTATTAATACCGTTTCTTCCAACTTTTGTTGTCGCTGTTGTCTAACTAAATGTATTAAAGGAATGTCATTCGCCGCTGTTTCTTTTTGTACAGTAGAATTTTCAACAGTATTGAAAGTATTTAAAGAAGTAATTTCCATTGTAATATCCGTTGTGAAAGTGGTACCAGCGCTAGCTGTTTTTAATAATGACGCCACGGATTTTAACATTTTTGCGTAGAATAATTAAAAAAGGGGTTGTATTTGTAAAAAGAAAAAGATGCCTCTACAAAGAAGTAACATATGAATGTTGAATGGCACAGTATCTTAAGTAATAAGAATAGGACCAAAAAGACTTTTTTTTTTTAAAAAAAAAAGAAAGTAATACGCGAAGGAAAAAAAGATGGAGAGATGCTTTGTTAATACGAATTTAGCCGATATAAATATGACAAAAAGAGATGATAAACCAACTATAGCTACAGTATGAGTATTCCTGCGATAAAAATATAGCCGTTACTATGAAATTTCATTTTGTCAATCATCGATTTAAGGTTAGAATGAAATTTTAATTTATTTGTATTGATGACGATAATGATTAAAAAAAGAAAATTAAATACCGGTAAATATTTATTTTATTTAATATTTAATTACTAATCATTGAGGAAACATTTTTAGTTAAAATTTGGAGTTTCAATTATTTTCTTAATTGAGACAAAAAAAAAAAATCCCGACTTTATTTAATACGTCATGGCGCAGCATAATTTCTGTTTTTTAAAAAAAAAGAATGGACAAAAAAAAAAGTCTAATAACTAATAGGAATATCAACATGTGCGAGTTTAATATTGAAAGGTTTCATGTTTTCTATATGTATCTATATAACACCTATAAAAATTTTCTTTTCGGCTCGAACAATGATGAATTTATGATATTTGAAAAGTCATAAAATTAATTATAGCAAGTTATCATCTATTATATATCGATTTTTTTGATGTTTTTGATCTTTATGCATGGTTTTTATCGCGAAAAATCTTCGATTTGTAACGTGAGTTTTATAATTTTCAGACTCTTTTAAATATTTAATGATTTTTAACTTATATTCTTCTTCGTTTAAATTTGCAACCT